TGTCACCCTCTTTTATATACCAGCCTACCTTATATCTAGTAAATACTAGAGCATTCGCCAAGGTACAGGATAGTTCTAGAAAATAGGTGGCGCCACACCAGTCACGTGACCTCGATGATGCAACAGTGGCATTAGACTGAGACTTTTATGAGTGGGACAACTTATAATAATTGTTAATATGTTTTTGATGAAAGAGGTTGAAATGATAATGTATTTGTTGTTAAAGGGGTTTATTCTTTTTTCATTCTGTCTTATAGTTTTTATTATTAGATTATTAAATTCTCCATTCTTAAAGTTGTCGATCGAGTAGGTATCTCCATGTGCTGTGAAAGAACAAGAGTCACAAGGTGATTCCATCCATTGGTCAAAAAGGCCGAGTTTACATGCTGAATTTAAGCACGCTTTCTTGGTTCAGTTCTGTTAGTAAATCTTCAAGTAAAGGTCGTATTTGAGATTACCACACTTTAGTTCTGCAGAGATCGATCCTGAAAGAATGACAGTAGTAGGACTAAATACCATTCAGTAGAATTGTAGACTGTGATCCTGTCTGCACAATAACACAAACTGTGTTTTCTTTTTAGTTTAATAAAGAATGTTTTTTTGTTTTTTTTCAAAACTTATCCAATCTTATTATTTTACACACTAGAAAACTCAGTCCAAGTTTTCAAGCACAAACTACACAACAAGTATTTTGGTCTACCTTGTTGTTGTTTGCAGATATTTCTGATACTCGTGCATAAATCAGTTATTTTATCTGAAACTACTCCATCATTATCAATTATAGTACTCGCTATTGTCCTTGTTTTTTTCCTTCGTGGTCGTACATTTCGTTACTCTGGGGATACTACGCATTTCATACCTAAGTCGGGTTACGTAGTATTATAAATTGCTTTAAAATGCATGTAATTAAAAAAAGGACAAACTATTTATTTTCTGTGATGAGCATTCTGCTGTGAATGTCACAGATGTAGTCATCTTTCTTCTTCTACTCGTTGACGTTTTTTTTTTTTTCAATTTGTATTCAAACGTTAAATGTGAGAAAATTTATTGTTTAGATAGCGGAGCAATACGTTTACACACGATATAGACATCTGGGTCAAGAGGAGCGGAGGAATTTCAAGGAGAATGAAGAACACGAGCGTTGTGTGTGAAAGTAGTCCCTGTAACAGAATGGGATGGCGGTATTGATATGGTATGTTCGCGTTTGTGGTCGTTTTAAGTGAATTATCCATTAACTTTTGGGAATGCTAAATTTGTTTTAAAAAATGGAATAGATAGGATTTTTAAGTCCTAGAATCTCTAGGATGGGCTGGATGTGGCTTTTGGTCTTCATCTCCTGTTTTTATCTCACAAGAGGTAAGTCGAGTTTTATGTATAACTGAAGTACATTGTTAACTCTCCCAACCGGTAGTTGGCTAGTTAACCCTCGAAACTGGCGTAGGCTAAGTGTAGTGACTCACTGAATGTTGGGTCTTGTGTGTATGGGACTACATTTTCGTAGTTTTTCTTATAATTTTTGTTTATATGTAAAACAAATCCTATTGTATTCGACTTCTCATTTGGAATTTAGTGTTATATGGTATTAAAAACTTGGAAACTTGTCTTTTCATCTCATTTGCTATACAACATTACAAGTTATAACTAGTATTATTACTACTAGTACTAGGCCTTACCTTAAGACTAATTTGAGTCAGTGTATTCTGAATACATTCTTGTTAAGGATGAAATTACCTAGACTGAGATAAGTTGTTCAAATTTAAAGTTAAACCACTTTAAACCTGTAGCACTAATGTGACATAGTCTTTTTAAGTTGTACTTGATGTTGATATTTATAAATTGTAGCATGATTTAATTTTCAGTAATATGTGGAATATACTTTAATAGTTAAGTTGATCACATTTATTCAAATTACTGCTAAGCCTTCATCATTTATACTTGAAAGTTAAAGTGGCAGTTAAAAATTAAACAGAAAAGTATCTGTTGCTGCGTAGAAGTTGAGACATAATTGAAACGTATTTTTGTTAAGAAAACACAATACATTTTTTTGTCTGTTTCAAACTACAGTAAGTGTTAACTTTCATTTTATATTATTCCAACCTGAGAGTGAGCAGGTGTAAGGAAAAAAAAAATAACCACCAATACATATATACCAGGTTGAAAAGGGTAGTTTTCTCTCTTCCTTCATCTATCTGGTATTTAACTGTCAGGTTGCAGTTTCTAAACTTGGAATTTAAATAACATTGATCATGACTATGTGTCCTTCTCTCTTGTGACATTTTTTGTAGCACATTGTGTTTTTCTTAGAGACATGAAATTTAGTTTTCAGTTGGCCAAAAGGAGGTTTTAATAAAGGCTGTAATATATAGTGCACAATTAAAAGTTTTTGTAAGGATTGATGAATGGGTTTACAATGAAAGTATGGATTTTAATGAAAAATATATATTTTCATAACAGTAGTGGGAAATTGTGTTGCATAATTGACATTTCGTTTCAAAAGAGCTAGCTGAAGCTAGCTTAAAAATATTCATTACAATAATAACATTCAGTTGCTGGAGATACCATTAAGCAAGCAGGTTTTAAAGGGTAAAGCTAATTTCTACTAAAAAACCTGTTTGGCTTCACCCATTTTTAATATTTTATGACTATCTGTGATTCATGTAATCTAAGTTATTCAACTTGATTAAAATTGCTTTTTTAAACATGCAATAGTTAGACATTTATTATTCCATTTAATAAAACTTTATTTCTAATTCAACAGTAACTAAAATTTTTTCTATAAAATGTTTCAAATAAATTATTTTCATGTATCTAGTTGGATAACTATGGATTTGTGAAAGCTTTAGGCATGTATTTTTAAAGAATGTAATACTAGTGAAGATGTGCAATTTGTATGCAGAGTTTGAAGGTTGGAGGCTATCTCAATTAAAATAGAGGCAATAGATAAAGAGAAAGGTAAATTATGGGAAATGGCAGCAGGATTTCAAGAGGAACTTAAGCTTTTACGTGCAAGGGATGTATCAGCTAACGATGACTTTCAGGAAGTTAGAAAGATTACTGTTAGGGCTAAAACTAAAATTTGTGGATTTAGTTGTAATGAGGCTATTCTATTGAGCAACAGATTTCAGTCCTTGGCTCGTGCAGATGAAGAACTATTGGAAGGAAGGAAAAACAAAAGGGTTGGAGAAGGATGTGGACAATAAACATAAGAAGGTTATAGTTATAGGTGATTCCTTGACAAGGCGTGTGGATAGGATAGTCTGCGGATTAAATAGGGAAAAAAAGGAATTAGATTATGCTACCCATAGGCACAGGTGGAAGATATAACTGACAGAGCAAGAGATATAATAAAGGGGCTAGCAATGATGCAGGCATTTAAAGAAAAAGGTCATAACTTAATTGTGTCAGGGATACTGCTGAGAATTAATTATGGGTATGAAATTATGAGTAGGTCGCTAGAGCTAAATGCTAGGCTTAGGTTAATATGTAAGGATGAGCAGATAGGCTGGTTGGGCTTGTGGGATCGGTTCAATAAAAGAAAGGAGCTTTTTGGAATGGATGTAAGGGATGATTTATACTAGGACTTGAAAGATGTGAGGGCCAGTATAAACTAAATGCAAAGAAAAAAAAAGATGTAGAGAAAAGTTTAGCATAGGAAATGAGCATAGAAGCAGTTATAAGGATAGACGTAATTGTTACTGTTGTAATGCTAGAAGTATAAGAAATAAAATAGATGACTTTAGGGTGCTGGTAGCAATGGAGGATTTTGATATAATGGCAATAATTGAAACACGGTTAACCCCTTTCGAGACAGGTCACAGGTGGAAGGCCATGTCATTTCATTTGTTGACTCTCATTCAAAATATTATTGATCTACTATTTCATGAAATTATGACAATAAATTTGGTATTAAACTGTAGATTATAATT